GTAATTATTTCTTTTCTACTATAATTGTTATTTCGATTGTTGTTTGATCATTAATATTATTTTCACTATTGGTAATAGCTTAAATCTTTAATTATTTATATAATATCAATTATAAAAGTATTCCACATTAACTCTATATTCATAATCTTTAGAAAGAGGTTGATATTAAAAATACAAAAATTATTAACAGATTTCATTTTAAAAATTTTAGTTAATTGTGCAATTTTTTATGGCTGAAGTTATTTTAATGATGATGTCTACCTTAAATATAATATATTATTCTAAAAAAAGAAATATTCTCATTATTTGAGACATTTATTATACTCACTATGAAGCAGCAAGTTGCTATAAAATTAAAATAAGCTCTTTGAATAAATAAAATATATTTAGTTTATAAATATTGTTTGTTTTTAGTTAATAGATTTATTACGAATTATTATTTAAAAATAAATTAGAAAAATAAATTCTTTTATTAAAATAATTATTTTGAACTCATTGGCAAAAAAAGTGAAAAATTACTTTATTCTAATAAATTTTTAGAATTTCTTACATATTACCTTTTATTCCATCATTTTAACCTATTAATGTTAAATTTTTACTTATGATAATAAATTATGATTCATATTTATTTTCAAATTTTCTTTAATAAAATTGTTGATTTGCTAAAAACATTTTTTTTCTATTGATATTTTTATTTCATCTTTAAAAAATTAGATAATCCTTAAAAATACTACCTTTCTTTGAGGTATTAAAATTCATTTTTAGATACTATTTAATTTTCTTTTTATAATTATACTGAAAAAGCCAAGTTTTCTAAAATTATTTTAATTTGGTTTTACAATGTAAATAATAAATCTTCCTTATTGCAGCAAGCTGTAAATAAAATCAATTAAAAAATTATCAATCTAAATCTTTTATTTTGCTGCAATATATTTTCTTAACTTATATTTACATTTCATATATCAAATATTCTTTAAAAAAATATAAATAGATTAATATTGATTAGACATAATAGTTAGTCATGATATAATTACATTTTTATAACTTATTAATTTAATTTATCTTACTTACATAATTCAATTTCATAATATCTGCATTTCAAAAAAATTTTGTTTATATGTTGCAGAATATAAAAATAAATTAATTTTATGAAAATAATTACAAGCTATTAATTACAAAAATGGTTATTTGAATACTACTTAACATTAACTTAAACTATTTATCATTTTATTATTAGAAAATAAGATGTAAAAATATCAATACTTTATATTTTAACAAAATAGATCTTCTTAACTAGTTCGAACTACATTTTTTAAATTCAAGCAATAAATAAACAAATTAATTAATTTAATTTATTTTACTTACATATTGCTAATCCAGGTATTAAAATATGATGAACTGGATAGCATTATATTTTAATATCTGGATTATGCTTAATTTATTATTAAAAAAATAAATAAAAGAATTTATGGAAAAGTATGTAAAGGCAAAATTCAATAAAATTCATAAATTGTATTTAATATATAAATATATAGTATAAAAAGAGTTCAAATACAATATTCAATATTTTTTCAAAATTTTGGTGGTTTACATTAAAATTTTTCTTTGATTGATATTTTTATTTCATCTTAAAAAAATTAGATACTACTTAAAAATATTACCTGAGAGGTATTAAAATCCTCTTTTTTGATATTATCCAATTTCCTTTTTATAATTATACTGAAAAAGCTAAGTTTTCTAAAATTATTTTAATTAAGTTTTACAATCTAAATAACAGATTTTCCTTATTGCAACAATCTGTAAATAAAATTAATTTAACTATTGACCTAATTTTTTTATTTTTTACTTACATTTATACTCACATTTAATATATCAAATATCCTTTAAAAAATATATATAAAGATTAATATTGATTAGACATAATAGTTGGTCATGATAAAATTACATTTTTACTATTTATTATTGCCTAATTTATTGATTTTAATTTAATATTTGCATAAATACACCTAAACAGCTGGTGATATTTTAATTACACAGGATAAGCAATATATTTTTGGAAGAAAAAAAAGAAATATTCTCTATATTAGTATTATTTATTTTGCTCACTATGAAGCAGCAAGTTACTATAAAATTAGAATATGCTAATTGAATAAATAAAATGATATTTAGTTTATAATTATTTTGAATTCTTTGGCAAAAATAGTGTAAGCTTACTTTTTTCAAATTAATTTTTTAGAATTTCTTACATTTATTACATTTTATTACAGAATCTTAATATCTAAATGTTAAATTTTTAATAAATGATACACATTTATTTTCAAATTTTCTTTAATAAAATTATTGATTTGATCAAAAAAATTTTCTTCTATTGATATTTTATTTCATCTTAAAAAAATTAGATACTACTTAAAAATACTACCTTAGAGGTATTAAAATCCTCTTTTTAGATATTATCGAATTTCCTTTTTATAATTATTCTGAAAAAGCTAAGTTTTCTAAAATTATTTTAAATAAGTTTTACAATAAATAACAGATTTTTCTAATAGCAAGCAATCTGTAAATAAAATTAATTTAACTATCTTCCTAAATTTATTATTTTTGGCAAAATTTTTCTCAACTTATATTTACATTTAATAAATCAAATATCCTTTAAAAAATATATATTTAAAGGTTAATATTGATTAGAATAGTTAGTCATGATTAAATTGTTTACTGTTTATGATTGCCTAATTTATTGATATTAATTTAATATTTGCGTAGGTATTTTTACGAGTTAAAATTAAAAAACTGATTAATTTAACTTGTCTTAATTACATAATTTAATTTCATTCATAATATCTACATTTCAAAACTTTTTTTTATTGATGAATATAAAAATAAATTAATTTTATGAAAATAATTACATGCTATTTTTTACAAAAATGGTTAATTGAATACTATTTAATATTAACTTTAATTATTTATCATTTTATTATTGGAAAATAAGATGTAAAAATATCAATATTTTATATTTTAACAAAATCAACCTTCTTAATTAGTTCGAATTACTTTTTTTTAAATTCAAGCAATAAAGAAACAAATTGATTAATTTAATTTATCTATCTATTTCATTCAGTAAATATACTTTTTGCAAAATTTTTTTTTGTTGCTGAATATAAAAATAAATTAATTTTATGAAAATAATTACATGCTATTTTTTACAAAAATGGTTAATTGAATACTATTTAATATTAACTTATATTATTTATCATTTTATTATTGGAAAAAAAGATGTAAAAATATCAATATTTTATATTTTAACAAAATCAACCTTCTTAATTAGTTCGAATTACTTTTTTTTAAATTCAAGCAATAAAGAAACAAATTGATTAATTTAATTTATCTTATCTATTTCATTCAGTAAATATCCTTTTTGCAAAATTTTTTTTTGTTGCTGAATATAAAAATAAATTAATTTTATGAAATTGATTTCCAACTATTATTTACAAAAATGGTTAATTGAATACTACTTACTATTAACTAAAATGATTTATAACTTTATTATTATAAAATCAGATGTAAAAACATCAATACTTTATATTTTAACAATATCTACTTAATTATTTCTAATTACTTTTTTACATACCACTGATTAATATAATAAAGAGGTCATCTAAAAAATTTATGACCCACTCTAAAAAATATCATAATTACATATTTTTTTTAAATTTAAAATACAGCTTAAAAATTTTATTTAAGCAGGTCTTACTATATAAGTGAAAACAAAACCCTCTAATGTATATATTATATTCGCAACTATTTTTATATATTTTCTATTTCACTTACTTATGATAAAAATACATGGAATAAAAAATAATAGGATGTTAAAAAAAATATTTGTTTTCAAAAAGTGATTTAAGATTTTATCAGTAGAGATGTTTTTTTTGAAAAGCATTTTCTTTTAAGCTTACTTAAAGCAAGATTGTTGACTTAAAAATATGTATTTCTTCATTTTCATTAAAATATTCTACAAAATTTGAAAATAGAATAATCTATTGTTGAATTTTTTAATATAATTAAATTATTAGTAATTGCTTCACTAAGGATTAGATGTTTGAATATTTTTATTATTTTTGTATTATAATAAAAATTAAAATGAAGGGAACAACATCTCTCAAATATAGTAAAATTATTGAATTACTTGAAAATGACTATTAAATTTTAGTTTTTCTTTCTAAAAACAATTATCCCTATAAAAAATTGTTAAGATAAAATTTTTAATAATTAATTTTTAATTAAATAAATTGATAAATAAATAAAAAATATCAAAATGAATAAATTGTTTGCTATTACTTTAGTAGTACTTTGTTTCGTATCTCATATTTATGCTTAAGCTGTTCCTGGTAGGGGTGTTTATTGCTCAAGTAACGGAAAAGATTGCACTGGATGCGGTGCTGGTGCTACTGATGTTAGTGGTGCTTAGGCTTTATTCACTTATGATTCATCAAATAGTTGCAAATTTACTGATTGCTCAGCAGCTGTTGCTGCAACATAATTAAATGGTTGGATTTGTAATTCTTGTAGTGGAGTTATTGGTAGTAAATTAGCTGCAGGAAGTTTTTTATTAGGTTCTAATTGCGCTAATAGTTGCAAAGCACCTGCTACTATCAATGCCTAATAAATTTGTTAGACACCTGGTAATAATGTTGCTTGCTCAACTAACGGAACTGATTGTACAGGATGTGGAGCTAATGCTACAATTTAAGGATTATTTACTTATGTTTCAGGTAATAACTGCAAAATTACTGACTGTTCTTCACCTACCACCTCTAATGCTGCTAATTTGAATGGCTGGGTATGTAATTCTTGCAATGGTTAGGCAGGTTCCGCTGTTCCTGCTGGTTTATAATTATCTGGATCAACCTGTGCTACTTCTTGCCCTTCTGGCCAAACTGCTTCTGCCTCAAACTCATTTACTTGCACTGCTGCTGTTAAAATTGCATTTACAATCTTATTTGCTATTTTTGGATTATTAATCTGATTTTAGAATAAATAAATTTATTTTAAAATATTTTTTGTTCTTCTTCATAAATTTTGTGTTCTTTTTAGAGCGTTGTAATTTATTTATTAAGAACTTTCACATTATTTTAACATCTTTATATTTAAAATATTGGGTGTTGGGATAATTAAAAAAAGATTTGTTTTAAAAAAGTGAAATTATTTTTTTGATCGTTTAAGTTGTATATAAAAAAATTTTTCATATATTTTGATTTTGTTTTATCAGTTAATATAAAAATTGATAAATCAGTAAATTTTATAATAATAATTAATATTGTCTTCTTAAGATTTTATCAGTAGAGGTGCTTTTTTTTGAAAAGAATTTTCTTTTAAGCTTACTAAAAACAGGATTATTAACTTAAAAATATGTATTTCTTCATTTTCATTAAATTATTTTACAAAATTTTTAAAATTTAATCATCTATTGTTGAATTTTTAAATATTATTTTATTAAAAAATTACTAGTATTGCTTCACTAAAGTTTGATGTTTGAATATTGTAATTAGTATTGTATAAAAATAAAAATTGAAATGAATGGAGAAACACTTCTCGTATATAGTAAAAGTTGCTTAAAATTTTTGAAATTATTGTTAAATTTTAGTTTTTCTTTCTCATAACAATTATCCCTTTAAAAATTGTTAAGATAAAATTTTTCATAATTAATTTTTAATTAAATAAACTGATAAATAAATAAAAAATATCAAAATGAATAAATTGTTTACTATTACTTTAGTGGTATATTGTTTCATATCTAATACTTATGCCTCACCTACTTTTGGTAAGTATGTTCATTGCTCAAGTAACGGAAGTGATTGCACTGGATGTGGTGCTGGTGCTACTGATGTTAGTGGTGCTTAGGATTTATTCACATATTCTTCAGGTAATAAATGTTTATTTCTTGATTGCTCAGTAACTGTTGATGCAACAAAATTAAATGGCTGGATATGTGCTTCTTGCAATGGAGTTAATAATAGTATTGTACCTCCAAGAAAATATTTTTAAGGTGGTACTTGTGTTGCTTCTTGCACTCCACCTGCTACTGCTACCTCCGACTAAATTTGTTACTCACCTGCTGTTGGTAATGCTGTCCCTTGCTCAAGCAACGGAAGTGGTTGCACTGGATGTGGTGCTGGTGCTACTGATGTTAGTGGTGCTTAGGCTTTATTCACTTAAGTTTCAGGTAAAAACTGCGTATTTGCTGATTGCTAAGCAACTGTTGCTGCAACAAGTTAAAATGGTTGGATGTGTGCTTCTTGCAATGGAGTTTCTAATAGTAAGGTACGTCTATGAAATGTTTATTCAGGTTCTAGTTGTGCTGCTTCTTGCACAGCACCTAATGTTCCTAACACCAACTAAATTTGTTAGAAACCTCCTGCTGTTACTGGTAATAATGTTGCTTGCTCAACTAATGGAACAGATTGTACAGGATGTGGAGCTAATGCTACAATTTAAGGATTATTTACTTATGTTTCAGGTAATGTCTGCAAAATTACAGACTGTTCTTCAACTACCACCTCTAATGCTGCTAATTTGAATGGTTGGGTTTGTAATTTTTGCAATGGTTAGACTGGTTCCACTGTTCCTGCTGGTTCATAATTTTCTGGATCAACATGCGCTACTTCTTGCCCTTCTGGCCAAACTACTTCTGCCTCAAACTCATTTACTTGCACTGCTGGTTCTTCAACTAATGCTGTTAAAATTACATTTACAATCTTATTTGCTATTTTTGGATTATTAATCTGATTTTACATTTAATAAATTCCTTTTAAAATATTTATTGTTCTTCTTCATAAATTTATATGTTCTTTTTAGAGCGTTGTAATTTATTTATTAAGAAAAGGAAAATTTAACATAAATATTTAACATATGGAAGAAATCAGGGATCACCAAGAAGAAGCCAGTATACTTGTTTTTTATTGATGTATGAATATATTATTTAATAAATAATCAAATTAATTGATTTTTATATTTTCTTTTTATCTAAATTTATGATAAGATCATTAGATATTCTGTTTTAATAATCATCAACATACTTTTAAAATTTACCAATAAACTCAGATTTAATAATCAGTATCTAGTTAAATTTTTTAAAAGTTGAGGTACTTATGAAGTTATTTTCTTTATACAAAAGCCTTTTGTTTGACAAAATTTTGTAAACTAACCATTTGAGCATTATAAAGTAATTTTAAGTTATTTTGCTTGCTATTTTGCAAAAACAAACAATTAATTTTTTTGTGCTAATCTTCTTAAATTGTTGCCTTTAATCTAAAATAAACTTCTCAACATAAATAATGATTCAATAATATTAAATAATAAATAATTACTTAAACAAATCAAATTATTTTGATTTTATCATGTTCTGATATCTTCCTTCATTGTTTAGCCACCTTCTAAACTATGTTTTATTTATTTCAAACTTATATGTTATTTATTTAATGCTTAATTAATTATCTTTAAAACATTTAATAACTTTTTCTTTAAATTCAAAGGGATATGTTTGTTTTTCATACTTATTTTTCTTTTTTTTATCAATAAATTTTAAATTTCTTATACATCATCTTGAAATAATTATTATGATTTCATAAATATTTCAAAACAATTATATTATTAATTTTATCTTAAATTTTATAGCTATTTTTCTTTAATTTTTTTTAAACGATAAGATTCTATATTTAAAGAGAAAGATCATTTATCGCTTCAAATATTTGTTATTCTTAATTTTTAATTTTTATAAATGTATTTTCTTTTTAAATTATTAGTTAAAAAAAAAAAATTTGCTTATTCAGTTATTAATATCGTTTAATATAATTTATTTTATTAAATTTATATTTAAAATTTGAAATTTTATTTTTATTCATTAAACCCTATATTTTAAGAATAGAAAAAATATTTTGGTTAGTTATTTACTTTAAAAAAAACAATACTATTAAAAAGATTATTTATCAATTTTCAAATTATTGGTCATAACAAAAAATTTATACACTAACAGATAAAAATTGAATGGTTTATTTATCTTATTGAATTTTAATGCAGTTAATTCACATAAATCTGTATCAAAGAGCAATAAAGAGAGAGAGTACCAAACAAACTATTGGCATTAAAATATAAGATGAAGTTGATTATTCAGCACAAGTATTTGTGGTTGATCCAGCAGCTGAAGTTTATCCTTAAGGGCATTTATTACAACCACTAGTAGAGGTAGCACTTGGAGTACCATAGTAATTAGCTTTGCATTAGCACATTGAAGTAGAAGCACTAAGTTAAGCATTAGGGTCATTGCAAGTACAAGAAGGGGCACTTGCAGTTCCAGTGAAAGTAGCATGAGTAGTATCTATACATGTAGAGCAATTAGCCAATGCTGTGCTTCCAGCAGCAGAAGCAGAACCACCGGGACATGCAGTACATCCGCTAGTTGAGTTAGCGCTAACTGTTCCATAAGTATTTGCCTTACATTGGCAAAGGCCACTTGCACTGAAAGCACCGTTAGGGTCAGTGCAAGTACAAGCTGGGGCAATTGCTGTTCCAGTGAAAGTAGCATGAGTAGTATCTATACATGTAGAGCAATTAGCCAATGCTGTGCTTCCAGCAGCAGAAGCAGAACCACCGGGACATGAAGTACATCCGCTAGTTGATGTAGCGCTAGCTGCTCCATAAGTATTGGCATTACATTGGCAAATTCCACTTGCATTGAGAGCAGCATTAGGGTCATAGCAAGTACAAGAAGGGGCACTTGCACTTCCAGTGAAAGTAGTATGAGTAGTATCTATACATGTAGAGCAATTAGCCAATGCTGTGCTTCCAGCAGCAGAAGCAGAACCACCGGGACATGCAGTACATCCGCTAGTTGAGTTAGCGCTAACTGTTCCATAAGTATTTGCCTTACATTGGCAAATGCCAGTTACACTGAAAGCACCGTTAGGGTCAGTACAAGTACAAGCTGGGGCAATTACAGTTCCAGTGAAAGTAGCATGAGTAGTATCAATACATGTAGAGCAATTAGCCAATGCTGTGCTTCCAGCAGCAGAAGCAGAACCACCAGGGCATGAAGTACATCCGCTAGTTGATGTAGCGCTAGCTGCTCCATACGTATTGGCATTACATTGACAAATTTCACTTGCATTGAGAGCAGCATTAGGGTCATTGCAAGTACAAGCTCGGGCACTTGCACTTCCAGTAAAAGTAGCATGTGCAGCATCAAAACATATAGAGCAATCAGCTAAAGCTGTGCTTCCAGCAGCAGAACCAAAACCTCTGGGACAAGCAGTACATCCGCTAGTTTAGGAAGTGCTAGCTGTTCCATAAGTATTGGCCTTACATATGCATTTTCCATTTTCAGAGAAAGTAGCGTTAGGGTCTTTGCAAGTACAAGCTGGGTCAAGTTAAGTTCCAGTGAACGTAGCATAAAGAGTATCAGCACAGACAGAACAAGCAGCAACAGAAGTAGGATTATTGCGAAACTTATCTTAAATAGTACCAGAAGGACACTTTGTACATCCTTTAGTTCTGCCTTAATCAGTTGAATACCCATAATAAAGACCTTAGCAATTACAGGTAGAACCTGAGCCTGATGCTGAGGGGACACCAGGGTCATAGCAAGTAGCTGTTACAGTTCCAATAATAGCTAAAACAGAAATCAATAATGTTGATTTTCTCATTTTTTACAAATATGTTTTGTTTTATTTTTTTTTAGATTAATATTTATTTATATCTTTTTTCTGCTCCCAATTCTAAACTTGGTTATAAATTTATGGTGGGAAATCTGTATTATTTAGTGGATTAATATATTTGAACTATGGGGTAAGAAAATTTTAATTTGTAATTTTCTTATTTAAAATAGGAATAAATTAATTTCTAATAATACTAATAAAATTAACTCGTTTCAATAATAAAAGAAAATTTTACTATAATTTTACTTTTTTTCAATTTTAAAGAAGTTCCTTATAAAATAAATTTTGTTATTTATAAATAGCTTTGATATACAAATTGAAGAAAACATATAAAATAGATAAACTTAAATAGACGAAAAGAATGTAGATAGCATTTTTCAAAAAATAAATTCTATTGAGCAACGTGACTTTGCCAAGGGGATAAAAAATTATTAATCGAATTTTATATATGATTTTGTATTATTAAAAATTTGTTAAAAATGTTTTTTAAAAAGTATAAAAAAGTAGCCCTCCAAGGAAAATACTTGGAAGGCGAAAAAATAGTAGGCAGAGAGGTTTTTTCTGCCTACTGATCCTAAAAAGCCCCGATTGTAAATTCTCTATTAAAATCCTCTTTTTAGAAATTATCCAATTTCCTTTTTATAATTATACTGGAAAAGCTAATTCTAAAATTATTTTAAATAAATTTTACAATAAATAACAGATTTTCCTTATTACAAACAATCTGTAAATAAAATTAATTTAACTATCGACCTAAATTTTTTATTTTGTGGCAAAACTTTTCTCAACTTATATTTACATTTGATATATCAAATATTTTTAAAAAAATATATATAAAAAGATTAGTATTGATTAGACATAATAGTTAGTCATGATAAGATTATATTTTTAATATTTATGATTGCCTAATTTATTGATTTTAATTTAATATTTGCATAGGTATTTTCTACGAGTTAAAATTAAAAAACTGATTAATTTAATTTATCTTACTTACATTATTAAATTTCATTCATAATATCTACATTTCAAAAAAATTTTTTTTTGTTGCTGAATATAAAAATAAATTAATTTTATGAAAATAATTACATGTTATTTTTTACAAAAATGGTTAATTGAATACTACTTAATATTAACTTAAATTATTTATCATTTTATTATTGGAAATTAAGATGTAAAAATATCAATATTTTCTTTTTTAACAAAATCAATCCTCTTAATTAGTTCTAATTAATTTTTTTAAATTCAAGCAATAAATAAAAAAATTTATTAATTTAATTTATCTTACTTAGATAATTTTATATTATTCAGTAAATATCCATATTGCAAATTTTTTTTTTTGCTGATGAATATAAAAATAAATTAATTTTACAAAAATGGTTAATTGAATACTACTTAATATTAACTAAAATTATTTATAACTTTATTATGATAAAATAAGATGTAAAAATATCAGTATTTTTTATTTAACAAAGCCAATCTTCTTAATTACTTCTAATTAATTTTTTACCTACCACTGATTAATATAATATCCTTCTAAAAATTCATGTCCCACTGTAAAAAAATATCATAATAAGACATTTCAAAAGATATATAATGTTTGTTTTTTATAGAGTTAAACCTTCCCTTTTAAATATAATACTTTTCATAAAAATTTTAGTTAATTATGCTATTTTTTATGGGTGCAGCAATATTAAAACTGGTGTCTACCTTAAATATAATATATTATTCGAAAAAAAGAAATATTCTCTATATTTGTGGTATTTATTTTACTCACTATGAAGCAGCAAGTTGCTATAAAATTAAATAAGCTCTTTGAATAAATAAAATTATATTAGTTTAAAAATATTATTTATTTTTTATTAATAGATTTATTACGAATTATTATTAAAAATAATTTAGAAAAATAAATTCTTTTATTAAAATAATTATTTTGAATTCATTGACAAAAAAAGTGAAAACTTACTTTATTCTAATAAATTTTTTAGAATTTCTTACATTTATTACTTTTTATTACAGCATCTTAATATCTTAATGTTAAATTTTTACTTATGATAATAAATGATGATTCATATTTATTTTCAAATTTTCTTTAATAAAATTGTTGATTTGCCTAATATTATCCAATTTCCTTTCTATAATTATATTGAAAAAACTAAGTATTCTAAAATTATTTTAATTTAGTATAACAATCAGATTTTCCTTATTGCAGCAAGCTGTAAATAAAATTAATTCAAAAATTATAGACCTAAATTTTTTATTTTTTGGCAATATATTTTCTCAACTTATATTTACATTTGATATATCAAATATCTTTTAAAAAAAATATAAATAGATTAATATTGATTAGACAGCTAGTCATGATAAAACTACATTTTTACTATTTACGATTGCCTAATTTATTGATTTTAATTTAATATTTGCATAGGTATTTTCTATGAGTTAAAATTAAAAAACTGATTAATTTAATTTATCTTACTTTCATAATTTAATTTCATTCATAATATCTACATTTCAAAGAAATTTTTATTTGTTACAGAATATAAAAATAAATTAATTTTATGAAAATAATTACATGCTATTATTTACAAAAATGGTTAATTGAATACTACTTAATATTAACTAAAATGGTTTATAATTTTATTATTAGGTAATAAGTAGTAAAATATCAATATTTTATATTTTAGTTAAACCGATCTTCTTAATTAGTTCGAATTACTTTTTTTAAATTCAAGCAATAAATAAACTAATTAATTAACTTAATTTATCTTACTTACATAATTTAATTCATTCATAATATCTCATTTCAAAAAAATTTTTAATTTGTTGCAGAATATAAAAATAAATTAATTTTATGAAAATAATTACATGCTATTATTTACAAAAATGGATAATTGAATACTACTTAATATTAACTAAAATGATTTATAATTTTATTATTAGATAATAAATAGTTTAAAATATCAATATTTTATATTTTAATTTAACCAATCTTCTTAATTAGTTCGAATTACTATTTTTAAATTCAAGTAATAAATAAACAAATTAATTAATTTAATTTATTTTACTTACATAATTTAATTTATTTCAGTAAATATCCACATTGCAAATTTTTTTTGTTGCTAAATATAAAAATAAATTAATTTTATGAAAATAATTACACACTATTATTTACAAAAATGGTTAATTGAATACTAATTACTATTAACTTAAATTATTTATAACTCTATTATTATGAAATAAGATGTAAAGATAAAAATACTTTAAATTTTCACAATCAATCTACTTAATTACTTTTTTACCTACCACCATCTGAAAATTGATATCCCACAGTAAAAAAATATGCTAATTAGATATTTCAAAGATATGTAATTTAAAAACATATGGAAAATAATGGGATATTAAAAAAAAAGATTTTTTTTTAAAAAAGTGAAATTATTTTATAGATTGTTTAAATTGAGTTTAACAAAATTATTTTTAAATATATTTTGATTTTGTTTTATCTGTTAATATAAAAATTAATAAATCAGTAAATATAAAAATAATAATTAAAACTATCTTCTTAAGATTTTATCAGTAGAGATTTTTTTTTTTGAAAATTATTTTCTTTTAAGCTTACTTAAAGCAGGATTATTGACTTAAAAATATGTATTTCTTCATTTTCAATAAAATATTTTTCAAAATTTTAAAAATTGAATCATCTATTGTTGATTAATATTATTAAGTTATTAGTATCGTAATAAAATGAATGGAACAGCAATTCTCGAATTAAGTAAAATTATTGAATTGCTTAACGTTATTGAAATTGAATATTTAATTTTAGTTTTTCTTTTTCATAGCAATTATCCCTATAAAAATTGTTAAAATAAAAATTTTTCATAATTAATTTTTTATTAAATAAATTGATAAATAAATAAATAAAAAATATTAAAATGAATAAATTGTTTGCTATTACTTTAGTGGTACTTTGCTTCATATCTAATACTTATGCTTAAACTGTTCTTGGTAGGGCAGTTAATTGCTCAAGTAACGAAAAAGATTGCACTGGATGCGGTACTGGTGCTACTGATGTTATTGGTGCTTAGAATTTATTCACTTTTAATTCAGGAACTAAATCCTGCATGTTTATTGATTGCTCAGCAACTGTTCCTGCAACAAAATAAAATGGTTGGATGTGCATTTCTTGCAATGGAATTGCTAGTAGTATGATACCTCCAGGAAATGTTTATTCAGGTTCTAGTTGTGCAGCTTCTTGCACACCACCTACTATTGCTAACGCAGCCTTCATTTGTTAGAAACCTGCTGTTGCTGGTAATAATGTTGCTTGCTCAACTAACGGAACAGATTGTACAGGATGTGGAGCTAATTCTACAATTTAAGGATTATTTACTTATGTTTCAGGTAATGTCTGCAAAATTACAGACTGCTCTTCAACTACCACCTCTAATGCTGCTAATTTGAATGGTTGGGTATGTAATTCTTGCAATGGTTAGACTGGTTCCGCTGTTCCTGCTGGTTAATAATTTTCTGGATCAACCTGCGCTGCTTCTTGCCCTTCTGGCCAAACTGCTTCTGTCTCAAACTCATTTACTTGCACTGCTGCTGTTAAAATTGCATTTACAATATTATTTGCTATTTTTGGATTATTAATCTGATTTTAGAATTAATAAATTCATTTTAAAATGTATTTTGATTTTCTTCATAAATTTATGTGTTCTTTTTAGAGCGTTGTAATTTATTTATTAAGAACTTTTTCACTTTTTTAACATCTTTATATTTAAAATATTGGGTGTTCAAAAAAAATTGGACATGCCTAGGAGATACCGAAAAAAAATTTTCAAAATTTATTTTATTTTTAAAAACTCGTTCGTTTCTCCCGAATAACGAGGGACAAGGTCTGGATCATTACAGTATTGGAAAAAAAGAAATATTCTCTCTTTTCGTGGTCTTTGAATAAATAAAATAATATTTAGTTTATAAATATTTTTTATTTTTTGTTAATAGATTTATTAATAAAAAACAATTTAGAAAAATAAATTCTTTTATTAAAATAATTATTTTGAATTCTTTGGCAAAAAAAGTGAAAGCTTAAATTTTTCAAATGAATTTTTTAGAATTACTTACATTTATTTCAGCATCTTAATATCTTAATGTTAAATTTTTACTTATGATAATAAATGATGATTCTTATTTATTTTCAAATTTTCTTTAATAAAATTATTGATTTGCTCAAAAAATTTTTCTTCTTTTGATATTTTTATTTCATCTTAAAAAATTAGATACTACTTAAAAATACTACCTTAGAGGTATTAAAATCCTCTTTTTAGATATTATCCAATTTCCTTTTATAATTATACTGAAAAAGCTAAGTTTTCTAAAATTATTTTAATTAAGTTTTACAATCTAAATAACATATTTTCCTTATTGCAGCAATCTGTAAATAAAATTAATTTAATTATCGGCCTAAAATTTTTTATTTTGTGGCAATACTTTTCTCTACTTATATTTACATTTAATATATCAAATATCCTTTAAAAAAAATATATAAATAGATTAATATTGATTAAACATAATAGTTAGTCATGATAAAATTACATTTTTACTATTTATGATTGCCTAATTTATTGATTTTAATTTAATAATTGCATAAGTACACCTTAACAGCTGGCGATATTTTAATTATACAGGATTAGCAATATCTTTTTGGAAAAAAAGAAATATTCTCTTAATTAGTGGTATTTATTTTACTCACTATGAAGCAGCAAGTTACTATAAAATTAGAATATGCTCTTTGAATAAATAAAACTATATTTAGTTTATAAATATTTTTTATTTTGAATTCTTTGGCAAAAAAAGTGAAAGCTTAAATTTTTTCAAATTAATTTTTTAGAATTTCTTACATTAATTACCTTTTATTACAGAATCTTAATATCTTGATGTTGATTTTTTACACATGATAATAAATGATGATTCATATTTATTTTCAAATTTTCTTTATTTAATAAAATTATTGATTTGCTCAAAAAATTTACCTTCTTTTGATATTTTTATTTCATCTTAAAAAAATTAGATACTACTTAAAAATCCTACCTTAGAGGTATTAAAATCCTCTTTTTAGATATTATCCAATTTCATTTTTATAATTATACTGAAAAAGCTAAGTTTTCTAAAATTATTTTAAATAAGTTTTACAATAAATAACAGATTTTCCATATTGCAAGCAATCTGTAAATAAAATTAATTTAACTATCGACCTAAATTTTTTATTTTGTGGTAATACTTTTCTCAACTTATATTTATATTTAATATATCAAATATCTTTTAAAAAAAATATATAAATAGATTAATATTGATTAAACATAATACTTAGTCGTGATAAAATTACATTTTTACTATTTATGATTGCCTAATTTATTGATTTTAATTTAATATTTGCATAGATATTTTCTACGAGTTAAAATTAACAAACTGATTAATTTAATTTATCTTACTTACATCATTTAATTTCATTCATAATATCTACATTACAAAAAAAATTTTTTGTTGCTGAATATAAAAATAAATTAATTTTATGAAAATAATTACATGCTATTTTTTACAAAAATTGTTAATTGAATACTACTTACTATTAACTATAATTATTTATCATTTTATTATTAAAAAGTAAGATGTAAAAATATCAATACTTTATATTTTAACAAAATCAATCTTCTTAATTTGTTCGATTTACTTTTTTTAAATTCAAGCAATAAATAAATAAATTGATTAATTTAATTTATCTTATTTTATTTCATTCAGTAAATATCCTTTTTGCAAAATTTTTTTTTGTTGCTGAATATAAAAATAAATTAATTTTATGAAAATAATTACATACTATTATTTACAAAAATGGTTAATTGAATACTATTTCCATTTAACTAAAATTATTTATAACTTTATTATGATAAAATAAGATGTAAAAAATCAAAGCTTTATATTTTAACAATATCTTCTTAATTACTTCCAATTAGCTTTTTTACCTACCACTGATTAATATAATATATAGGTCATCTAAAAATTAATGTCCCACTGTAAAAAAATATCATAATAAGACATTTCAAAGATTTCGAAAAAATTTTCAAAATTTATTTTTTTCAAAAAAAATGACATATTATAAGAATATACGGTATCTATTATTTCAAATTTTACATTTTGCGAATTTAAAGCTTTCTAAAAACTCAAAAATAAAGCTGTTTTAAGCTTATTTAGCTGTATTTATTATGTTATTAAGATATATTACATTTCGCCTTTTGTAAATTAAATAGGCATTTTACTCTAATTAGTATTGTATAAAAATTATAATGAATGGAAAAACATCACTCGAATATAGTAAAATTATTGAATTGCTTAACATTATTGAAATTGACTATTAAATTTTTGGTTTTTCTTTCTCATAACAATTATCCCTATAAAAATTGTTAACATAAAATTTTTCTAATTAATTTTTAATTAAATAAATTGATAAATAAATAAAAATTATCAAAATGAATAAATTGTTTGCTATTACTTTAGTGGTACTTTGTTTCGTATCTAATACTTATGCTTAAACTGTTCTTGGTAGGGCAGTTAATTGCTCAACTACTGGAACTGATTGCACTGGATGTGGTGCTGGTGCTACTGATGTTAGTGGTGCTTAGAATTTATTCATTTTAATTTCAGGACATAATTACTGCATGTTTGCTGATTGCTCAGCAACTGTTCCTGCAACAAAATAAAATGGTTGGATGTGTAATTCTTGCAATGGAATTGCTAGTAGTATGGTAGCTCCAGGAAGTGTTTATTCAGGTTCTAGCTGTGCAGCTTCTTGCACAGCACCTGCTACTGTTAACGCCATGTAAATTTGTTAGAAACCTGCTGTTGCTGGTAATAATGTTGCTTGCTCAACTAACGGAAAAGATTGTACAGGATGTGGAGCTAATGCTACAATTTAAGGATTATTTACTTATGTTTCAGGTAATGTCTGCAAAATTACAGACTGTTCTTCAACTACCACCTCTAATGCTGCAAATTTGAATGGTTGGGTATGCAATTCTTGCAATGGTTAGAATGATTCCGCTGTTCCTGCTGGTTCATAATTTTCTGGGTCAACATGCGCTGCTTCTTGCCCTTCTGGTCAAACTGCTTCTGCCTCAAACTCATTTATTTGCACTTCTGGTTCTAGTAATGCTGTTAAAATTGCATTTACAATCTTATTTGCTATTTTTGGACTATTAATCTGATTTTACAATTTATAAATTCATTTTAAAATATTTTTATCCTTCTTCATAAATTTATGTTTTCTTTTTAGAGTGTTGTAATTTATTTATTAAGAACTTTTACACTTTTTTAACATCTTTATATTTAAAATATTGGGTGTTAAAAATAAATTGGACATGCCTAAGAGATACCGAAAGATTTATTTTTCAATAAATTTATGAAAACCACTAGATATAGATATTTGGGGGGGATTGTTTTATTAAAGTATTTGAAAAGTTGCATAAGATGATGTAATTAATCAAATTAGTAATTTATATTATTAGCAATTTGTAATTTCTGGTTATATTGATTTAAAATATTGCTTTTTAATATATGAAAACAACACACACAATTATGAAATTAGATTTTTGATTTTTATTAAAATTTGCATGTATTTAGAAATAATTTATCATAATTTTATTATGCAAGACATGCAAGCAAAAAAATATAAATTAAGATTATTTGATTTTTACAAGAAAGTTTATAATATTTTGTAAATTTAAATAAATATTTGATTTGACTGAAAAATAATATTAAACTATTAATAAAAATGATATTTTAAAGCTTTTTAAAAAAATTTAAAGTGTGCTAATGATGATGAGATAAATTAAAAAAGTCATTTATTTTATTAGTAATTAATAATTTCTGATTGCATATGCTTTTAAAAAATATTGTTTTTTAATATATGAAAACAACACGCAAAATTAAGATGCATAATTTATATATTAAATAATTAATTGATCAAAAATAAAAATATTACCATACAATTTTATATAAAAGGAAAATAGATAAATGCCGAACTACCCTATATTTTATTCTATTTAAGTAAATAATTTAAAGAAATTAGAGATGATATGCAGTTAAAATATTCATATGTGTATATAATTAATTAATAGAATGACAAAGATAGCTCTACAAACGTATTTTCGTTGAATTTTAACGATTAAGTGCAAGGAGATGAAGTAATTATTACATCTTCAAATGATTAATTTAGCATTAAAGTTCTTTCAAAATTAAAAATTAACACATTAAGGTCTTAAAGCTGAGGCACATAATAAATGAATTCCCCATAGACTTATAAAGTGGAAATTACCACATAAGGTTTAAGATTTAATGCAATGAAACAGAACCTAAAATGTATGCCATTACTTTTTTATATTATCTTTGAATAGTAATTAGTTAACAAATCAATAAAACTTATTTTTAATCAGTTTTGCATGGATAGATCCTTAGAATTTAGAAGCGAGGGCACCTATAATTAACAATGCAGTATATGTGAAAATTTTGTAGTTGACGAAGGATGGAGATTCTAAGATTTATAATAAGTAAAAAATACTCAAAATTAAGCAAAAAGGATCTTTACGAAGCCAACCAGCCTAAGAGTTAAAAAATTAGACTCCTCCTATAGAAAATGCACAGAAGGTAAAACGAGTAACAGGCAGTTCAACAAATATTCATCATTCTAGCTCTGATCCTGATCTTGTACACTAGAAACACATGGGATCAGCAAAGGCTTTAGATAGTGATTATAAAGATACATCAAAATAGAGCTAATTTAAGTAGAAATCCTCCAATAATTTAGATGATTCGCAGCAAAGATAAGAAAAGGCTTAAAATAAAATTCCTGTTATTAAGAATCATTTTGATGATGAATATGATGACTACGTTGCTCCTGCTCCTTAAGTAAATGCTTCTTATTGACTTTAAGTTTTTATCATTATCTAATTTCTTTCATTTTTGTCTAAAAAGGTGACAGTACAACCTCAGAAAATTCCTCCTGCAGTTGTAGACTTAATAGAAGGAAACGATGAAGAGGCTCCCTCATCTGGCGCTGGAAAGAACTCCTCTGAACATAATACCACTTCAATCAATAATATTGACATTTTCCCATAAGATGATGGTTATAGACACGTTTAACATGAAGATCTTATTCATCATTAAAAAGGCCCAATCTCTGAATCTGAAAGAAAACTTGAAAGCAGAAAGAACGAATACATAATAAATGGTGAAATAAATCGCGAAAAGCTTATTAAAGTTAAAGAGTAAATCCTCTAAGAAGAATAAGAAGAAAGAGTAACTTGAAATAATTAATGAACTAAAAAGAAAAGCCTAATTAAAAAAAAAATTATAGAAAAGGGAATATGAAGAAGAAGAAAGAAGAAAGGCTTAAGAGCAAGTAGATAAGAGATCTGCACAGGATAGACTTGAAGGCAAAATTAAAGTAAATATAAAAATATACTAAAAGGTCTCAAAAAAATTAAATTGATATTGTTAAAATTTAGAGTTGGAAAGAGTAAAATGGAACCAGAAAAGACATTAGAACTTTGTTATCAACACTATAAAATATTTTGTGGCCAGGAGCTAACTGGACCCCTGTTTCCTTTTTTGATCTCTCAACAGAAGATAGCTTGAAGGTAAATTAAATAAATTGAAAAATTAATTGAATCGGAGTGAATATTTGTTTTAAAAATAGTCTGCAATTAGGAAGGTATTTAAAACATTCCATCCTGATAGAAATAGAAATGATATTGAAAAGAAATACATATGCGAATAGATTATAGATGAAATTAGAAAAGCTTAAAAGGAATACGAAAACAAATAATAAAAATGAAGTGAATGCATAAAACTTTATTTAAAGCAAATTAATTTTACATTATAAGCATATATATATATATAAATAAATAAATCATTATTGTCTCCTATCAATTTTTATTCTATTTTGAAATCTTTATGTAATATTCTTTACCTTTTTAGGAAAATTAGCTTGTTTATTAATGCAAGTATATCAGCAATAATATAAAATTTATTTCATATTGTATTTACTTTCAATACATTTTTAATCAAATTAACTCATCAACATAAAAAAATAAATACAGTCAAATAAACGCTTATTTGAATAGTAAATATATAAAAAACCAAGCAAACATTTTACAAATGTGATTAACATTTTTAATTTTAAAGAAACATGCCAATTTGTAACTTGAAAAAATTATTTTATTATAAATATGAAATTAAATAATATTCCAATTAATATTTAAACAAAATAATTTTAATTTAATTGAATTTTTTTTTCAATTTTTTTATTTAAAAAATATTTAATTTTTATCACTTTGCAGTAAAAAGAAATGTGAAGCAGAATTAATTTGAAGTTATTTTTTTCTTATAAATTTTTAAAACTAAAGCTAAAAGTCAACAGTTTATTATTTAAGTTAAATTAAATTTATTATTTTTTTAGTTATTAAAATATCAACTAAAATAAATTTTTCATTTTATTAAGTCCGTAAATTGATAAAAAATGTAATTCTACTAAATAAAATAAATTTTTGAAAAAATTTAACTTAATTAACTAATTAAATTCAAAAAATATGAATTCTTTTGTTAATTCAGGCTAAAATAGAAAAAATTATCTATTTTCTAGTTAATAATATAAAACAATTCCAAATTTAGCCAATTTTTCACAAAAAATTTCTCCATCTTCGCCAATAAACCATACCTATTTTTCATTTGATTTAGCATTTCAATGAATTAAAATTTTAAAAATTTTCAACTTTACTTCCATTTATCCTTTTCAAGACTATAAAAGTAAATTTAAAAAAGTTAAAAATTGTAAGTTCTCATTAATTCACCCTAAATTATATTAACCCCCAAAATTAAGAAAAAATTTTTAAATCTTAAGCTAGAACATTAATAGTTCTGATAAATTGGCTCTAATTTAAAAAAAATGCATTATAGATATCTAGCATACTTAAATTTTTAATATTTGAATCTACCATTTTTTTATTATGATTCACAATATCAGATAAATAACAAGTTTTAAAAAACTCAACAAATTATTAGGTAAGAAATTACAAATCATTTTATAATAAAAATATATCTTTAATAGTTTTTATTATTGTTGAAATTAATTAAAATAAAAATTTTGAAAAAGTTTAAATTAAATTGAAAAAATAAGAAATTTTTCATCTCTAATATTACTTGAAAATTTATTCTGTTTAATTTTAAAACAAGAAAATAAATAAATAAATAATTAATATCAAAATACTTTTATACATTAATTACAGAGATAAAACTTTATAATTAAAATATTTACTGAATTAAATTGATTTTTTTTGAAGGTAAACTATTTGTTAAGTGACTCTAAAAAAGATGAAAAATCTGTTTAGCCTTGATTAATTTTTTATATATAAGGAGAATCTATCTATCACTCAGATGTTGATTTGCTTTATTATTTATGTTAATTTTAATTAATAAATTAATCTTCGGTTAATATGTACTCATCTATAACCCAATCTTTTCCATTTACGTTAAGAGTTTCTTCAAAAGTTTTATTAAATTTAAAGCCTAGCCTTAAAGCAACGTTAGAGCTTTTAAGATTCACTTGCTGACATTTTAATATAATTTCTTTACAATTGTATTTAGCGAAGCCCAAATTAATTAGAGCATTTGCACTTTAAGTCACATAACCTCTACCATTCATATCTTTATCTAGCCAATATCCAATTTCTCCTTGCCCTTTGGTTAAAATGATAGAGACACAGCCTATAAGTTTATTTTCCTATATGATAGCATAACAAAATTATTTTCCCTGACTTTCGCGATGCTTGAAGTAGTTTATAAATTATTTTGATGAGCTTTCATCAGTAAAGTGATTAGCCCAATCACATGCATCATTTATAAAATATCTGTTTTTAACTACTGTCTAAAACAATGTAGATTTATGGCATTGATCTAATAATTCAAGATGTATTTCGTTGCTAATTTCAATTTATCTATCAGGGACTATTTATTGTTTTTTTATTTTGTCAGAGCTATTTATCATCTTTAATATAAGGCAAATCACTTTTAAAATAAAATAAATTTGTGTTATTTTTACAATAATGATATTACAAATTATATAGAAATAGAAACTATTTAAATTAAGTTATCTATCAATTACTAAAATAGAAAAAGACTTATCCTCTACTACTATTTATATAGTTATTATTCTGATAAAACTAGCATCTATTGCAAACTTTAACAAATTTATAAATATATATGCTATTTTCTATATACTTAATAAGAAAGATTTTATTTTTAAAATATTCTTTTTTATTCAGTTTTAATATTATTTTATTTATTTATTTAATTAATTATCTGAATGCTAATTTGATATCTCTAAAAGTTTGTTTTTGAGACTCTGATTTAATGTAAATAGAAATATTAAAATAAATTTATAACTTTTAATTTGAAATCATCAATTTAAAGTTGATATTGAAATCAGAAGGCTTAATTAATACTAAAAAGTTATTAGAAAATTTGCTAGAAAAATAAGTGATAATATCTTTTCATAATGAATGGAAATATAAATACAAATATTTTAAAGATAAAGTTAAATGCAAATAAATATTTAATTTTAAATTATTAAGATGAAATCGATTTCAATTAAAAGCTGAGTAATTCTTCGATATGAACAAAGATTATGTATAGATAGATATAAGAGTCCTTGCTCATTCAAATTTTTGAAATACCTATTTTTGATGAAATTAATTGATATATTCACTATTTCAAGCTACCAAAACCTTGCTTAATTTGTGCTACTTTAGATTTGTCTGTGTGGTTAGCTTGAGAAACTACTCCATAAGCTCCTCCTCCTATTTTGGAAGTTACTCCCATTATATAGTCTTAGTCGTTTGCATGCTTTTAATGCTAAATTAATGCCTTTTCTCTAACATCTCCACCCAAATCAGACTTGACAGAAAGCAATATAGTCAGCATAGAAGCAATTGCTATGGGAGAAATTTATATGTATGCCCTTAAAGTGTATTCCATTGGAACACATTGCCTTTCTTGTTTTACTTGATTGTAGGAAATGAAAACTATTACATAGACTATAAGAAAGCTAACTACTGCTATTAAAATAAAGAACCTGAATGATTATAATTTTCTTCCCTTTCTTCCCATGCACATAAGAACTGAGTTCATAATTGCTGCTAAAATATTAATAAAGATATGAGAGAAACAAATGGAAAAGATAATTATGGAGCCGTTATCGTGGCATAGTCCAAGGTCTTTGCCACTACTTAAAAGCAGATAAGGGAAGAGTAAATTAGAAGCCATATTTACAAATTTTGCAGCGTATTCCATCTAAAATGACAAGCAAATCACCAACTCAATTTAATTTTTAAGACCTAAAAATGCAAAAGACTTCTGAGACATAATAACTTCCATACACTCTCTTTTTTAAGAAGTAACTGCGCTAATTATATCAAAAAACACTATCAAAAACCAAAAGAAATTGGTAGCATAAATCAACCAAAATTCTAAACGAGCAAACTAATCCCTACACCAAATATAGAATAAACCTAGTACGTTAATGATAATCATACATACTGAGCCATGTTCCATTAATTTACGCATGGACTTGCCATCTGCTGTGCAATAGTGATCTTAACTATGCATTATCCATTATCCCACATTAACTAAAATGTAAACATATATGTGGAACTTTATGTTCTAAAACATGAAATTGACACCCTTTGTTTTAGGAACGTTTATATCTGTTTCCATCAGCCTTTAATAAATTAAAATATAGTTTCTCCTTTTTTAATCTTAGCAAGTCTTTCAACAAAATGGTTCTTTTAACCCTAAAAGTCCTTGTATTTAAATAATTAATCACTGAATATTTGCAAATTAATATAAAATAAATGATTATTTTATTTTCAAAGAGTTAGTATAAAAATTTACGATATTCACTCACTTCTTTCTTTCTTTGATTGATTTACAAATCAAATCTAATTAATCTTTAAATTTTTATTTAAAATAGCTAAATTCAAAAATATCGCATACAAAAAATTGAATTCGTAACGATGAAATTTTAGATTTTAATTTCAACTATTCATGCATAAAATCTATAATAAATTTAAAAACAAAATTAAAAAAATTAGTCATTTGAACAGTTTTTTAGTAATTAAATTTGTGTATGATAAAATAAAACAATAATTTTATTTTTAAAAACAAATTATTATTTTATTTTTAATTCAGCAAAATCATAATAAGATTTTCACAATTGTTATTTTAAAAGCACATTTACTTTTAAAGAATTATAAACGGAGTTAAAATTTTTGATATTTTGCACAAAAAATAAAATCACATTTTTCCATTTTAAAAAAATTTAATATAAAAAAAATTTTTATTATAAACCTACCTATATTATTATAATTAAATTATTTCCAAAAACTACCTATTATTTTAATTAAATTACTTCCTAAAAAGCACTTAAAATCAGGCTATTTGATAAATTTACAAACAAATTTTAGAAAATGTTTTTAATATTAACATATAAATAGAATCTATTATATCAATATGGAAAACATGTCTGTCAAATCATAAACTAAAAGATTTTAAATAATTATAAATTTGAACTAGAAATGTTAATAAAACTTTGATGCAAGCAAGAATATTGAGCTTAATTAAGTAATTAATCTAATTACAATTAATCATTGATATGAAAAATAAACAATTTATAAGAGTACAATAGTATTTTTTTCAAAAAGAATATAATAAATACAAAATAATTTTCAATTATAGTTTTATTATCATTGCTTAGGCTATCTTTTTCTTATAACCTGAATTTTTGGTATTTCTTTTTTTCCTTAAGCCTCATTTTTTTACTCATTTGATTTATTTTTCATCATTTATTCATTTGATTTTTCTTTTATTTTTTAACTTAATAAAAAATTTTCAACCTTTAAGTGCTTTAGAATAAAGTCAGCATTTTCAGTAATTGTTGCAAACTGTTTTTAAATAATTTAAGAAATCTAGATTGAAGGACGATTATTTTCCTACTAAAGTATGTTTATTACTTTTAAGCTTTCTAAACACGTTGTGACAAATTAAAGACTCTCACAATTTAGATCATAAAGATCATTTATTACTTGCTTAACATTGTCTTTATCCTTACTATTCATTCTAATTTAAACCTCAGAATTACACTTTTTAAACTCAAATTGTTTTTATTAAAAAAATATTTATTAAAATTTTTTTAACTATTAACTTGTACTTAAAATTATAATATTTTAGATATAACAAACTTAATATTTATATATAGTATGTCCTTTTTCTATAATATTACAAAACAGATCATATTTTTCTTAAAAAACAATCAAAATTTGTAATTGAAATTACTTTCAAAATATAAATAGATTTACAAAACTTTGATGATGTTTTTTCTTATTATATTTTTCTTCATTTTTTCATAAATTTTATAAGCTTTATTTGAATGTCTAAAGAAAAATAAATAAAGTGATGATTTTAAAAATATTAATTTACATTAGCAATATTAAAATAAATAAAAATATTTATTTAATAAAAAATAGAAATTAATATTTTTATTTATTTCTTTTTATTGAGAAATGAAAAAATTATTTAATTAAATTAGAAAATAATTTTATATTAAATTTGCAAAGTGAATAAATTTTAATATCAAATAAATTAAAGCCAACTATTTCATAAAATTTTATTATTATTTTGACTAAAATAAATTGTATCTTAAATAAATTTATTAGCTAGTATTCAAAAATTAGGATATAAAGAATAAAACAAAAAGGATTGGTAAAGCTGATATCTATCTATTGATCCTGTTAATATTAAGAAATGAATGATTATTTAGATTTCACTAATATGACTATTAATTAAATAGTTAGAACAAAATGCACGAATGTTTGCAAACGAATAAGAAGTGAGCAAAAGATTATTAATTTTGATAACAATTAATAGAAAGAATAAAAGGCTAAAGAGTTTATCAATCAATTAATTAGTAATAATTATAAATATAAACTATCACATAAATACTATTTATTTATTTTGTTAGCTCTTAACTAGTGGTTACTGTAAACTATTTCATTATCATAAAAAAGTAATATAAAAAGCAAAAGAAGCGAAAAAAGGAGAAGAATCAAAAGTTAAATTTTAAATTGAAAAAGGCAATGAGAGCAGGAGCAATAGCTTATCCAGGAAAAATTAATGACATTTATATGAGAGAAAAGTGAGCGATTTTAATTTATTCAAATGAGAAGCAGATCAATAATCAGCTCTCTTTGGAAATATAGCAAATGCTATAAATTTATAAATTTGTTAATTTAAATAGACAGTATGAAATGCACATTAACAAGTTAAATGCCATTCGTAACGAAAAGTCTCATATTGTAGTTAAATCACCTTAAAAATAAGTTGTTATTGATAACGTTAAAGAAATAAAAGTAATTATTTGAATAAATTTATCACTTTAAACATTTTTAGTCATTATAATTATAAGAATAAAATTACTTTGTTAGCAACTTATTAATGTATTTTTACTTTTGATATAAATAAATAGAACAGGAGACTCAAGTATAACGAGTAGAGTAATATTTTAAACTAAATTTGTAACTCATCTAAAACAAATAAAATGCAATTTGCTATTTTAAAAATATATTAGTGAAAATAAGCAGCATTCAAAAAGACAATAACAGACTATTAACAAAATTAATCTAGATTTCATAAAGGAGTAATACAGCTTATGTTGTAAAGGTAAAGATTCTTAAATTTTTTATGAATTATCTTGATATAAAATGTTACCGCCTTATACAACTGATTGAATTCATACAAATTTTATCTAATTTTAATAAATAGAGACATGATATCGATGATCCTTTGTTACATCATAAAAATTTTTATGCAAGAAAGAGAGAAGCATTACATATTCAATCAGAAAACGAGAGAATTGCTAACAGAATTATGTAGTAGTAATAAATTAGTTTTAAGTTGGTTGTGTCAACAACTCTTTCATTTTTAGCTGTAAACTAACTAACTTTATTTTAACTTAAAATTTAGAGATGCAACGGTTAAAAAGAAAAAGTTAGATTAAGAATTCAATTAATAAAGAAAACTAATGAGTAGACTTTCAAAACATGAATGGTAAAATAAAGCAGTACTTAAAGTCAGATAAAATATTATGAGCTAAATGTACAATAATAAAGAAATGTCAATTATGTTCCCTCCAGTAGATAACCATGAGATGAGAAATGTAATTAAAATTTACTTAATAATATTCTTTAATTCAAATATTTGCATTCTTAGAACCTGCTTTTTTGTACTAATTAATATATTTTTAATTTATCCATATACAAAAGTCTAGCTTTAACCATACAAGAAACAATATGTCCATGACTCCAGACATCCATTCTTAAAGAAACTAAAGTTAAACTGCTATTTAACCTCCTTTAAATAACACCTGTAAGCTATTAAAATGTTTAAAATTAACATCTAATTAAATGTTTTTCAAGTTATTTAGAAATTCTTTATGTTATTAAATGTTTTAGAACCAAATTAAAAGTTAAACCACAAAAAAATCAATGAAAATTAAATAATTTGATAAATTTTCGCTAAGTTAAATAATTAACTGTTAAATAATTAAAATTAGACAAAATTTAGATTATTAAAGATTTTTAAAAATTCTGTAGAATTAAAATAATAAATTTATCCTGCTAAATTAAAGATCGAAAAAAACTCCAATAAATCCTACTAAATGTAAACAAAAATCATACTAAATATAAGGATAATCTATTAATTAAAATGTTAAAGAAATTTATATTAAATAATAACTCTTAAAATTAATTCATTTTTTTAATTTTTAATGAAAGAAAAATTATTGTTTTAATCTATTAGCTAATATCTAAAATATATTTAAAAAAAGAAAAAAATGTTAGAACAAAGAAAAGCTACAGCTATCACAATGGTAGAGCTATAAACATATCTGGAGTTCATAAAACAGAAGAGACTTAAAATCATTCAATAGAGAATAGTTAATAGTAATTGACGAGCAGTACTTTCCATAACCCTAAAAGTAGCTAGCAACCTTATAAAAAATAAAATTCTTCTAACAACACAAAACTAAATAATTCATACTAATAAAATCGTAACAGTAAAACACCTGAGAGATTATAATGTAAGTTTATAATTTTTTAATATTTCTTTATATAAAATTCAATAACAAATTTAAAATAGCAAATGAAAGTTTTGCTAAAGATTAAGATAACGACAAATAAAAATCAGCAAAATTTGGTTCTCATGATAAATCTCTCTCAATGTATCACAGTTCTTAATTCTAGTAAAAAGATTCTAAAGATGTAGAATAGCAATATTCACAAAAATTTGAATCACCATCAAAATCTATCTAAGAACAAAATTCAGTGCAAGTTTCTCCTCAAAAAGCTTCTTAATGAGCAAGTTAATCAAAAAATGCTTATAATAAATTTGTTAATATTTAATAAAAATGTAGAAAAACATAATTAAATAAAAAAAATAAGTCATAATATAAATAAATATCATAAAACACAAACACAAGCCACTTACTTACTTATAAATAAGTTAAATAAAAATTTGGTAAATAGATAAATTAAATAAATAGCATTAAAATTATATAAATATCTTAACTTAATCTTTCATTAATTTATAGCTTGCTTGTAAAATTTTTGTATATTAAATAAATTCAATTTAGTAGATTTTTATGTTAAAATAGCATTTAATCTAAAAACTAAATTGCTTTTCAAAATCATTTAAAAATAATTCTTAAAAAAAATTTGGACAATTATTTATTTATTTTATGGCATTTACCCTAAATTCTATAAATTGACACCCATACACAAAATAAATTTCTTGACATTGAGCCTAAAATTATGTTTGAACTAAATATATATATTTTTTTGAATTAAAGAAATTCTAAATATCTCTAATTACAATAAATATTTTAAAGTTTATCTTGTGATAATTTTTTTAAAATAGTTATCTTTGAATTATATTTAAATTATTCTAAGCGAAAGTAATAAAATTTATTTACATTAGAATACAATATTTGATAATTTTATGAACATTTTGTAATTAATTATACAATTTTACCAATTAATCTGATAGTAAACAATAAAATACTCTGATTAATTTAATTACATTATAGGCAATATATTATTTTAAATTAATTATTCATATAAAATTTATTTTTAAATTATTATTACTATTTATTTAGATATACTGACTGACTTTCTCATTTAATTTAATAATTTTCACTTTTTAAAATCAGATTTACCGTTACTTGAGTTAAGCATGCTAATATTTTTATGCTCTTAAGACATAATTATTTTATCTTGAGCAGTACCCTATGACTCAGATGAGTCTCTTAATGGAGAATTTTCGCATGGCTACAACTAATGGAAATACTCATTTGCTTTTTACTCTAAAACTTTCAAATCTGAAGTTTTAATTGCTTTTATTACTGAATACAACTATTAATTCTAACTTTTAGCATTTTAATCCCAGAGTAATTATTTTTGGTACTCTCTACAATTTATGCAACAAATGAGGCATTATATTATCTCATGGTATTTATTTTGTTTTTTGCTAATGGAAGTCATAACTCCAACAATGAATTAAGAGAGTATGGATTCGTGATTTTGGGTAAAAATCTCATCTTTTAATTTTAGTTTTTACTTAAGAATTTTTACAAACTCTTCCTCTTAATGAGTATCTAAATATCTAGCTGAATTTGTAAACATTTATATAAAGAATGGCATCACATTATCGTCATCCTTTTATTTGAGCTAGCTAAAGTACTTAAAGCATTCAGAATCTTTTAATTTTTCTAATTAGCTCTATTATAAAAATTCTATATTAGAAGTAATTTACTCTGCATTCAAAATTGCCTGGACTTCTTCTCTAATTATTTGTTATTATTTTTACAGCAGGAGCAAAGTTTTATGATAAATAACTTTGGATATCTCAAAAGAAGAAAAAGTTTAAAATTTAATTATTTCATTTATTAAATATGTCAAAAAAATCATCAATTTTCTCTAATACGAGAGATACTCACATACTTATTTCTTCAAATCCTACAACTAATCCTATTATTTTATATAAATAGTAATTTTAACAAGATGTTAAGAATTAATTATATTTATCTTTAGAAAAATATTAATTTTTCTTACTAATGACACAAAAGAAAAATAAAGATTTGGTTAAAAATGTTGAGGTTTTCAAGAATCTCAAAAATAAATGTTATAATAAAAAAATCAGCCATATTTTCAGATGAGATTTACATAAAAAATAGATGGGGTGATTGCTAGCAGTATAAATGTAATTGCATATTTTTAATTATAAAAAGCAATAAATTTTAGATTTACATCATTTTAAGTCTATGTTAAAGATGCTTGAAGAGCAAGTTTTAAATCTGCTTCAATATAAATTTCTTTCATTGAAGATTAAATGTAAGATTCAGTTTATTTAAATTTAGAGTAGAACTCATATTCTTCATTCATAAGTGGATGAAGAAAAATTTCATCCCAAGATATTCTCTACTCTTCATCAATTGTCATCATTCTACGCAATAGCTCTTTTAGTTCTGGAATTATTTGAACATTTTCTGGGAATGTAAGTGGTTAGCTGAGAATTCTATTTAATAAACGCTGATATGTGTCATCCATCCAAGGTGGATACCCATAAAGTAATTCATAAATCATCACTCCTAAAGACCATACATCACATTTACAAGAGAAGTTAATTATTCCTAGTATCTAAGGAGCCATATACTTTAATGAACCTATTTATTTAATAAAAATTGATTAGAGATATAAATATATTTAATTTGAAAAATATTCTCAAAATAAAATTATTTAAAAAAACATTAACAAATTAAATTAATTCCAAATCCTTCCTTTGTACATATTCAAATTCTTGAACCAAATATAATTGCTTTTTAAATTTTTTTTATATGTGAAAAAAATATTGTTAATTCTATTAAGGCATTTTATATCTAAGCTGGAATTAAATTGATTTTAGTTCTTAATCAATTTAATTTTTAAAAATTTTGTTGTTGGCCTTAAAAAGCGAATAAAAATAAGTAATTACTTTTTATTTTTTTATGTAAAAATTATTTGTGAATTCTAGATTTATATTTAAGAAAAATTCCTTTTAATTTATGAAGAAAAGAGTAATAAAAATAAATAAATAAAATTTGCGTAAATAATCAATGATATTGATTATCTTATTTTATGATTTTTATAAAAATTTACTTAATTTTTTGCCATTTGCTAAATTAATTGATAAGATATTTATATATTCATTTACTAAATTAACTTTAAGTCCTTTTATATTTTTTTTTTAGAATTTTGCTTAAAATTGATTTTTAAAATCATTTGACTAATTTTTTCTATTTTTCGCTCCTTTTTTAATGAACTGATTAAAAAAATAATTTTATCAGACTTGAATGTTTTTATTATCTATAAATTAAACACAATTTCATAAACGATTTTCTTTTCTTTTTGGATCAAAATTTAACTTAATTTTAAACAAATTATCATTTTTATGATGGTAGAAAACAATTTCAAAGATTTTTAATTTATTTTAATGTTAAATGAATTACCAACTGGTGTTTGCTCTATTTGCTTATTCATCTAATCTTAGTTGACTACACGTGCGAATCCAAAATCGCTTATCAAAAGCCTTTTATGATTTTCCTTCTTTTCTAATAGAATGTTTTCTGGCTTAATATCTCTATGAATGATATTGCGTTTATAAAGCTCCTTAAACCCATTAACAATTTATCTAAAAAAGAAAACAGTTTCTTCTTATGAAAGACGACGCTTGTTTTCAAGATATTTGCTTAAATCTCCATCTTTGATATACTCTAAAAATAAATACAAGTTATTTTTTGTTCTGGTAACATGTTCCATTTTCACAATATTATCATGACGAATTGTTTTTAGAATTTCTATTTCTCTAGTTAGTTAAATAATCTCTTTGTCATTAAGTGTGGTTAATTATATCACTTTAGCAGCAAATTTGCCATTCTTCTTTCCTTCTTTTGTCAACCTATACGCAATAAAAACTGAACCGAACGCACCTTTTCCTAAATTTTGCTTAGTGATGTAGAAATCTTAAATTTATTTGCCTCCTAACTCATTCTGTTCTCCCTATTCAGAAGCTTTGCATTCAACACTAGCTCCTTGCTTTTGCATCTTCTACTATTAGGCTGCTTGCTTATCTTGCTTTGCCTGCTAATCAGGATTCATTTTATGTTTAATTTTAAAAATGAAGTTGTAAATATACTTAGCTAATTCAATTATTAAATACGAGTAGAGTTAGTTATCTATCTATCTAATTTTTATATAAAGATGCTTGCTTTATTTAACAGTTTTTCAACTTTAAAGATTTAACCTTGTTGGCAATTTTCTTACCAACTCATTAGCTTACTTACTTTCTTGACTTCTAAGAGAGTTTATAAATTAAATGATTCAAAGCTAGCTCATTTTTTATTTTAGATTTAAGTGTTACCATTTTTTTTTTTTTCAATTTATTCTAAATTAATTTCTCTTTACATTTTTAATTATTATTTATTTCCATTTTAAAATGCTTTTTAAAAGCTTTACTCACACATTAAGTGATTGACAATTAACTTTCATTCATTTAAAATAAATTTAAGTAAAAGTTGAATTATTCAATCGATCCAATTTTTAATTGAAAATTCTAGATGTTTAAATATATTTTATTTAAAAATTTAGAATAAGCTACTATTATAATTGTCAATCTATTAATCTATTTATTAATGATTATCATAACAATTAAAAATTTAATTTGTATTAAATTTATTTGTTTTAATAGAAAAATTATTTCTTTATTGATTGAATCAGACTAATCATTTATTTTTATTTCATTTTAGATTTTTTAAAACTTAAAGTGCTAAAATTAAATTTTTGATTAAAATTCAGCTTTTATTATGAAATATGCAGAAAGTAAATCCAATATATGTTATTAAAACAAATTTTGTTACAATTTTCAAGAATATCTATCTCTGAAACATAAAAAAATTAAAATGTCTTTATTATAAAATTTGATTTAATATGAAAGATGTAATGACTAAAATTAAAATAATATCATAAAATTGAAATAATTTTATTATTTAATTTTTAAGAAAGTTATGAATGTAATTCCATTTCTTAAATGTAGATTAAAAGTGGTAGTTTATAATTCAAAATTTTTACCTTTTATTTTTGAAGATAAATGAATCAAATTAAAAGATAATTTCATGGCAATTAAATTAGAATTTTAAAGTATTTTTAACTTCTATTTAATTTTATCATTTTAATAAAAAATAAATTTATAAAAAACAAAAAAGAATTTAAAATTTCTAAAAGATTTTATTTTTAATGTGAATAAGTAAAATAGCATATTTTAAATAATTTGTAGATATTCATCTTAATTTATTATAATAAATACTCTAAATTCTGATTTTTTTATTTTATCATCTCTTTATTTTTTTAAAAAAAAGACCTTCATTTTTTTATAAAAAAGTACCTAAATAATAACAAAAATTATAAGATATCAAGATTTATTATGGTATCTGATGCAAAAATTAACATTTGAGAAAAAAATAATAAATATAGAATTTGTAATTGAATTTCTATTTTTAGAATCAATAAATTATTATAGAAGTATAATCTAATATAAATTTTTAAAAGGCAATACAATACTACTAGGCTTAAAATTACACAAGTTATTTTTACAGCTTTAAAATGCAGCTAAAGTAAAAAATTATAGTGAAATTGACTGATTTTAAAAATAATTTTATTTAAAATATAAAGATTATCATTTTTGATTGTGATTTTTAAAAAAATGGTGTTGTTAAATAAATTTATTTTGAATCTAGTATAGATTTATAATTTACTATAAAAATTCATATAAAAATATTTTTTAACTCAATCTTTCCTTTTAAAAATTATTTTAATAACGAAATATTAAAAATTTACCTCAAATAATATTATAAATTTTTAAAATAAATACTTTATTATTGAAGTTATTTATAGTAAAAGTAAGCTTGTTAATTTTTTTTAAAGAATCACAGGCTAAATAGTTTTTACTTATGAGTTATTTAATTTAAGATATAAATTATTTTGAATTAGTATTATTAAGCTAAAATATTATTTTAATATGAAAATACAAAAATTATCTATGTTTTTGAAAAGAAAATATTTAGGCTTTTATATTAATAGATTAGTTTAGTTAGATTACTTCTAGATATATTCTAAATAAAATTAATAATAAAGCTTATTAGATAATTTCTTATTATTAATTTACTAACCTTGATTACAACCAACAATAAAAGTTCTAGAAATAATCTCCATTCATTTTTTCAATCAAATTAATTGAACTTAATTTATATCGAATATAACCAAAAAATTTTTTAAATAAATCCAAGACTTGCTTGTTAAATTATTTATTTATATTTATTCTATCATACACTATTTCTTAATTAGCCTAAATCCTAATATTTATAAGTGAATTCATTTACTTTCAAAGTAAAATATATTCTATTACAAATAATTTGACTTAATTATTTCGATTATCATACTCTTTTTAAAAAAACAAATTATTTGAATAAAATAATTTACTGATTTCAAACATTTATCTATCTTATTATTTAAGAATAAAATATTAATTTTGTTTGAAATAAGCTGAAAAAAATTAAGAAGAACAAAATTTTATTTGAAGCTCTTAGTAAATAATTTGAAAAAACTACTTTAACTGTACATAAAAAATTCAAAATTTTAATTCTAAAAGTTCATTCCTTTTCGTTGGATAAAATTAGCTCTTTAAAAAATGTTTTAGCAAATTAATTAAAAGTAAACTTTTCGCAGTTGTTTTATTTTTTTTACGTATTTATGATAATTTATTTTTCAGAATTACATATCTTCTATATGATATTAAAAATTAATTTAAATTGATCAGAAACTGTACTTTAGAAATAATAATTAAAAGCAAAACAAAAATAATAAAAAATAAAAATAAACACATCAACCCACCACAAAAAAAGATGGCTGAAATACCAAAAACCTTCAGAGCTTGGTCTTTACTTGAAAATGGAATAGAACATTTGTAATTAATTGAAAGAGAAATTCCTTAAAACTTAGGTGAACATGATATATTGGTCAGGGTAAGAGGAGCTGGATTAAATCCTATAGATTTCAAGCAATGTATTTGGGGTTCTGGACCATTCGATTAACAATTCCCTAGATCATTAGGAGAGGACTTTTCAGGCATAGTAGTTAAGATTGGAGGTAAAGTTGATCCTAATCACTTCAGAATGAATGAGACTGTTGTTTTCTCTTTTGGTGGCTTCAAAGATGAAACTGGTTCTTTTGGTGAATATAAAGTTGTGGATTCTAGGCACGTTAACTTGGTGTCTCACAAAATTGTCTAATCACGTGGAGAACATATTTTCACTGACTTGGCAGCATTACCAGCTGCAGGTTTCACAGCACTAGCTTGTGTATAAAATAAACTAAAGTTACCAATTCACAAAGATCCTTAAAGTATTTCTAATAGATACACAAGAAATATATTTGTTACAGCAGGTGCTGGTGGTGTAGGTTCTTTTATATTGCAGTTGTTAAGACTTTGGAGAGAGAATAACTTCGATGAGCACGAAAAGAAAAATATTAGGATCATAACTTCTTGCTCTAAAAATAATTTTGAATATGTAATGAAACTAGGAGCTACACACTCTATTGACTATAATGTTGAAGACATGTGTGCTAGACTCAAAGAAATACTAGAAGGCGATTAATTAGATGTTTGGATTGACCTTGTAGGAAAAGAGTCTGCTCAAAGAGGTTCAGATTGTCTCGGATTTAGAGGAGAACTAGTTGTAGTTTTTGAAAGCGATTACTCTCCTAAGCTTTATCCCTTCAGTCAAACAGTGCACAATGTAGCTTTAGGTTAATATCAATTCTTAGGAGCTCCTAAACACATGAAGGATTACAGACTATATGGAGAGCTATTGCTGGAATTATACTATAAAAAATAAATTGAAATTGAGAAGAGAGAAATCAAATTAGAAGAAGTCTAACAAGCTTTAATTGAAATTTCTGAAGGGCATACTAGAGGAAAAATTGTCATGAAAATTTGATTTGTCATGAAGAAAATAAAAGAATGTTTGCTCAAAATAATTTATTGCAAACAATATATTTTTATATAAATATGTTGTAGAAATAATACAGCCCTTAATTTTGTATGAATTTGGATTAGATATCTTTTTTTGTTATTTTTGTTGAAAAATTTTTATCAAATAAATCTTATTTTCATTAAATTCATTAAAACTTTTATCAAAATATAGATAATTTTTAAACAAAACAAATTTTATTTTTAAAGTAATGCATTTATTTGATTTCATCAATGATTCAGTTTGAAAGAAATAATATTTTAATTAAATTACTATTTTTAGTAAAAAGAAACTAAAATAAGAAGTATTTCTATTCTAGAATTTTTTAAATAAATGTAAGGAATAAATAAAATAAGAAAATTAAATAATATTTATCAATAAAAAATAATTAATTAGTTAGCTTGTTGGTTAGTATTTTTTGTAAAAACAAATATTAAAAAATATTTTTACTACTAAAAATAGTTAATAATTTTCTTTTTTTAAATATAAAACTACTAATTAAACAAAAATTTATAAAATTCAATATGCTCTAAAGTCACTTTTAATTTATAAAAGTTTAATTAACTTTCAAGTCAAAAAAAATTTTTACTTATATAGTTAATTCCTTTTGATATTAAATTAATTTTCAGAAGCAATTATTTTAATTTCATATCAAATAGTTAATAATTTATAATTGACTGAATATTTTAGTGAATTTTAACATTTAAAATCTTAATATTAGCAATTTTCTAAAAATAAATAAATATCTAAAAATATGAATTTTTAAATGAATTGTTCAAAAAAATTTTATTTGATTTAAGTTTTTTACATTGCATTTAAAGTAAATAAAATATCATCAATTTTATCAATAAAAAATAATTTTTAGTAATTAATGAATTTTGAATATTTTTGAATGTATTTTATTCAGCATTCATTGTATTTTTTTAGATAGATTTTGATTGAAATAGAAAATTTTCAGCTTTGATTTATGCTAAAAGCATTCAATTAGATAAGTAAATATATAGGAAATATTAGAATATATTATTTTTTATATTTTTTTTGGTTTGTTTGTTATTGATATTGATTTGGTATTTTAAATAAATTTATGATATTGAGAATGTAATATTAGAATTCTATTTGATAAATGCTTTTATTAGGCATTTAATTAATTAATTAACTAAATAGATTTTGGATAAGTAGAGCAATATCTGAATTTAATAATAATATTGTAGTTAAAGTCCTAAGATATTATCAAAAACTAATAGGAGAGATTTAGGCAAAGTTTAACTAAGCTGTTAATATACTTCTCTAAAAATCAATTTAGCAGTCTTTACAATTAATAATCAAGCATATTTAAAGTCATTCTTATAAAAAGCAATTAAGTAGTTAAATAAATGTTGGAAGAAGAGTATTACACATCAGTTGCCGTTGTTATAATTATAATGTCATGCTTATCTATTTTAGGTGGATTAATAGTAGTTTTAACTTATGTTATGCTAAAATAGCTCAGAAATTTTGCTTTGAAGATGGTGGTATATTTATGTTTAAGCGATATACTCTCTAACGTTGCAATGCTTTTAATACCACCAAATATATTGCATTCTAAAATTGGAGAATATGAACATTCACCTATTTGCACAGCTTAATCATTGCTATAATCATGGGGTGATTTATCATCAATTATTTGGTCAGGATTGATTTCTGTAGTTATTTTTTTGACAGTGGTAAAAAGAGTGCAAGTAGATACCCTCAGAAAAAAGGAGTACATCTTCCTTATAATTGGATTCCTTTTACCTCTTTTAGTTTCATCAATGTAAACAGAAATCTTTTTTATTTTGAATGAATAAGATATTTAGATAGATTTCCATAATACAAAATATAGCTTATCAATTATTTGATTGAGTAGCTTTTTTGATAATTTGACCAACTAAGTTCAATTTCATTTTTTAGCAATTATTTTATAGTCTTAAAATTATTTGAAATTTATTTACAAACTCGATTATTTTTTTAAAAACTAAAATATAGACCTTTTATAAATGATACATATGGAGAGGACACATATTATTGCTGGGTCAAAAGCAGTGCTAAAAATTCTTTAGTTTTTAAAATATTAATTAATTATGCTCCTTTGTGGCTGACTTTTTTGGTTATCACAATATTAAATTGTTTTACAACACAAACAATTAAAAATATGGAAAATGTTCCTGTGATTTAGCAAAAAAGCATGAAAAAAATGCTTCTTTATCCATATATTCTGATCATAACAAGCTTTTGGGCATCAGTTGTTGCAATTATGGAATTTTCAAATTAAGAAATACCTGAATTTATTTAAATATTACACCACCTATTCGCAAGAAGTTTAGGTATATTAAATGCTTGCATTTATGGATTAACACCTGTTGTTAGGTCAAAATTGAGAAATTCCCTTTCTGTCAGTTCCTTAGTTAAGTCAGAAAAGAAAAATAATATTATACAAAAGAACTTTAAAGATGAATAAATACATTCTGAAGGAGATGATAATAACTCATACTAAGGACATGATGATTAGATAAATGATAATTTTAGCGACTCTAGCGATGATATATATAACTTTAAAAATGATGTAGCCATAAATAATGGCTCTTTTAATGAAAGCAATTTTCTAAAAACTGAAAACAAGAAAGAAAAACTTCATGAAATCTTGCTTTGAAATAATACTCATAAGATTAAATACATTTTTAATTCTTAAAAAAATTAGTCCTAAAATAATAAATAAATAAATGAATAATAAAATTTAATTTTTCAATTTTAAAAATAATTAAATTAATACTATCTATTTTAATTCTTTAATATAAAAGAATTCTTAAATATTGTTAAAATAGCTGAAATAAAATAATTTTATAAGAGGTTTAATTAGTGGATAAGAACTAGAAGTTTTCTTAAAATTATTACTTTAATAAATATTAATAAATAAAAAAAATTCAAAATAATTAATTTAGCTATATCAGCATCTACTCTATAGTTTATTGTTTTTAGCAATATGTTTTCTATTTTAAAATATAATAAATTAATATAGTTGTTGTAAATTAATTTTTTTATTTATTAATTTTCAATATTTAATTATTTAAGTTTTATAGTTAGTTGTCAAAATGATAGAAAATATACATCTACATACATACATAAATATATATATATATAAAAGCTTAATATTAATTACATTAAAGTTTGATTTTTATGTATTATTAAATCCTGAAGAAAAAAAAATATTATCTTGATCTAATCAAATATTTAAGTTTTAAATTGATTCAAAAAAATGATAATAAATGTAATATATTGCTTGTTTATTCAGTTAATTCAATCTATTTATAATTACTAAATATTTTTGATAGAATTCCTGAGTTAATCTTCCCATTTCTAAAAATTCTCATCTATCTTACCAGTTGAACAGTGATAACTAGCCCACTATTATTTAATCCTGAGATTTAAAACTTCAAGTTATTATAACTTACATAGAGTTTGAAGAATTTATTATGCTTCATGCATTCTTCTTCTAGCAACTGATATTTGTAGAGTTTTTAGATTATGATTTATATTAGGAAGGCAATCAAATATTGGTTTTAAATCTATAGCTGCTCCATAACAAAACTCATCAAGTGTTAAAGATAATTTTTCTACCTTTATTTACAATAAAAAAGAGACAAAGTTATCTACTACTTCTTTTGGAACAGGGATAAATTACTTTACTGCTCTCGAAATTTAAACTTTTTCTTCATTTACATGATAAATTCCAGCTTCTAATTATATTTCTAAAGAATTTAAATTTTGCAAACTTAATATGAAATCATACAGCTATTTTCTTTATTGTTCTCCTTTAGGAATAAACTATTCATCTAAACTAAGGATGCTTATTGATTTAATTTAATTCTTATCAATAGAATAGAGCTACTATAATGATTTCAATTTAATAACATTTCCTTACAATAATTACACTTAGATTATGTCAAGTGTTTTTTCATTATTTCTTAAAAAAATAGATACTTCTACATTCTGAAAGGAAAAGAAGAAATTATCAAATTATTTTTTTTCTTCTTTAATAAAGCTATCAAAAATACTAGCTAAATAAAATAGTTAGTCATCAAATCTATTATTTGGATCATTCCTTTCTTACTCAGGTAATTAAGGATTATTTAACTCTTTAGCTGGGAAATAGTATAGACATTAGCCACCAGCGCATGTTTTTTAGTTGCACTGTCCAGAGCAATTTGAGTAACAGTAAGAGCTTATATTATTAGTGCTCCAATAGGTCTTCCACTAACTCCATATGATATAGATATTGCTGAAAACTCTATTTTGACCCAAAGCTGTCATAAAATGATTACATAAACTAACAAAATCAGATTTACTTTAAATTGGGCTTTGCTATGTGATGTGTTTAATGTAGAAATAATGTAATATAGTAGCGAGACTAAATAATTAAGAGTTTTTAAAAATAACAAAATTAGATTGGTTTTCATATTCCAGTTAGAAACCAGTCTGGCTAAATAAGTATGTTTATAAAGAGCCTTCAAATTATACTTCTATGCACTAGTTTTTACTTGTAATTTAAAAATTAAGACCATTTTGATCTTTGGCTTCTACATGTTATGTAGCTCCTAGAATGTTTAAGAGGTTTTGCAACACTTAACTACTTTACATTTATAAATTATCCATTAAGTTTTTTATATTTATCTGATTTGTTTTTTATTAATTAATAAGATTTATTTTGATCAAAAATCCATAAAATTAATAAAAAGATATAATAAATAATTGGCATAAAAATTTTGATTGAATCTGAAAAGATAAGATGGTATGAACAGTAATTAATTATTTAATTTATTTGATTTTAGGGATATATTACTTTTTCTTATAATAAATATCATATAGACAGATTTATCAATATTTTAAATAGTTATATGATCTATTTGATTCATAATTCTTTTTGAGAAAATAAAATGGTTTTTTAATTCTCATAATCTCAAATCAAATTAATCACTCAGTGTTTTTATACCATATAAAAGATATGGAGAATTATATCAACCCCATAGTTTTTCTATTTTGTTAATATAGTATGAAAGTAAGTTAAAACATTGACATGAAGATTGGTAATTTTTTTAAAGAGTCAATTCCTTTTATAATCAAATTAGAATGAGCTAAAATAAAAAAATGTTTATATATTGCAGTTTTAAAGATAAAAATATTTCAATAATTGAATGATTTAAATAAATAATATTTTTTTGTCTGTCTTGAGACTGATTATTTTTTAAAAAATTTAAAACCATGACAATAAAACATATTACATTCTATTTTTCAAATATTTAATATTTATTCATCTTTTTTGATCATTTGAATTTTATTTCAAAGACAACTAATCTTTTTGATTTAAGACACTTGCTTTTTACTTTCAATTATTATTATGATTCATTTATTTAGTTTAAACTTTATTATAAATTAGAATAAATTATTAAAAATAATTAAATATATATACATTCTTTTGTTATTAAAAATTATGTTTAATTTTAATAACTAAAAAAAACATTAGTAGAATAAAAAATAAAAAAATAAAATAAAAAGCTATCAAATAAATTAAAAGAGCTTTATTGTTTTAAATTAATTTTTTAACTATAAATATCACATTCGAAAATAAATAAACTGTTTTTACCCAAGTTCAAGTTTCAAATTTGAGAGATTAGTGCAATTTGCTAAAACAGAAGATAAGCTTGATGCACCCATTGCACCAATTTAATTGCGACTTTTTAAATATTATTAAAAAATATATAATTAATTAGTTGATTAGAAGGAAAAAATGAGAAAAAACATTAAATAGTAAGAATAATTAATTAATAATAAAAGCAAAGTGAAAATAAAAAATGAATTAAATTAACAATTAAAAAATTTAAATCAAATAAACTGTTTTTACCGTAGGTAAAGTGTTAAATTTGAGAGATTAGTGTAATTTGATAAAGTACAACCTAAACCTGATGTACCTTCATCACCAATTTAATTGCCACTTTTTAAATATTGAAGAAAAAATATATAATTAATAAGCTAATTAGAAGGAAAAAATAAAGTAAAGAATATAAAATTTTAAGAAATAAAAGAATTAATAATAAAAACAAAAGTTGAAAATAAAAAAATGTATTAAATTAGCAAAGAAAAAAGAAAAGAAAAACAAAAATAAATCAGATAAATTAAAAAAAACTTTTTTCTTTTAAATTAATTTTTCTAACTAAAAATATCACAATCTAAAACAAATAAACCCTTTTTACATAAGGTTAAGTGTCAAATTAGAAAGATTAGTGCAATTTGCTAAAGCAGAACCTAAGCCTGATGTACCGATTGCACCAATTTTATTATCACTTTTTAAATATTGAAGAAAAAATAAATAGTTAATTAGTTAATTAGAAAAAAAAAATTTAAATAATAAAAAATCATAATAAAAGTAAAAGGAGAAAATAAAATAATGAGTTAAATTAAGCAAAGAAAGAAGAATTAAATAAGCACAATAAAAAGAATAAGAAAAATAAATCAAATAAAAACTACCAAATAAATTAAAAGAGCTAAATTATTTTAAATTAATTGTTATATTGAAAAATATCACAGTCCAAAACAAATAAACTATTTTTACTAAAGATCAATTCTTAACTTTGAGAGTTTAATGCAATTAACTAAAGCAGAACCTAAATCTGATGCTCCGATTGCACCAATTAAATTCTCCCTTTTTAAATATTGAAGAAAAAATATATTATTAATAGTTAATTAGAAGGAAAAAATGAAGAAAAAATATAAAGTAATAAGATTAGTTAATTTATAATAAAAGCAAAAGGTGAAATAAAAAATAAGTTAAATTAACAAAAGAAAAATAAAAAAAAGCAAAAACAAATAAAAAGAAAAAGAAAGATAAAACAAATAAAAACCTATTAAGTTATTTCAAAGTATTTTATTTCTTTATATTAATTTTTATAATTAAAAATATCACAATCTAAAATAAATAAACTCTTTTTACCCAAGGCCAAGTGTCAAATTTGAGAGATTAATGCAATTTGCTAAAGCAAAACCTAAGGCTGATGCTCCAATTGCACCAATTTAATTGCAACTTGTTAAATATTGAAGAAAACATATAACATTAATTACAAAGAAAAAATCAAGAATAATAAGAAATAATAATATTATTTACTAATAAAAGCATAATTTTAAATAAAAAATGAGTTAAATTAAAAAAAGAAAGAAGAAAAAAGCAAGCACAATATAAAAAAAAATAAATCAAATAAAAAGCTTTAAAATAATTTAAAGAGCTTTCTTGTTTTAAATTAATTTTTATAATTAAAAATATAACAATCCAAAGCAAATAAATTCTTTTTACCTAAGGTAAAGTGCCAAATTTGAGAGATTAGTGCAATTTGCTAAAGCTGAACCTATGCCTGATGTACCCATCGTACCAATTTAATTGCGACTTTTTAAATATAGAAGAAAAAATATATAATTAATTAGGGAAA